GAGGCTCACGCTATGGCAGGCGGCAGCTGCTGCTGCAGCAAAGCACGACTGCGCTCCTCCAAACTTTAGTTCACGCCTCTTTAGCACCCTAAATTCACAGCAAAACACAACAGAAAGACTTCGAGTAAAGTAAAACCCAATTGCTAGCAGTCCTGCACACCAACTACTTACAGCAACAAAAACTGGAGTTTTTGCACAGGCAAAGCCTCAGCCAATAAACGCAGACTGGTTTTAAATATTTTTGCTTGTTTATATTTAAATTGCCAGTATTTGTCAGAGTTAAAACTCATTAAAGCTGAGCTAGAGGCATGTAGGTATATGATAGTGAAATAGCAATTACTGAGCCTTTGTTGTGTCATGCCATTTAAATGGCACTTGAACTTTCATCTGGTCGTAATGAGGCGGAAGCGCCCAGCGCGGGTGACTCGGTGCCATCGCCATGAAGTGGCCCAGGGCGGTGCTTGCAGAGGTGCCTTGCTGAGCAGAGGCAGGCAGGATGGCAAGGGCACAGGGCACAGGGCTCCTCCGAAAGCGCTACTGAGTGCACTGGGCAAAGTGGGTTGGCACTGCCCGGCCCCATTAGGAACAGCTAACGAGCGAGGATGGTGATATTGCTCAGGATGTACAGGGCTCTGACCGTGCTGAGGAGCCGAGTACTCTTCCCGTAGGAGATTCCTGAAGCTTATTACCTCGCTGGGTGGCTCAGGAAGGGAGCTGCCCTGGAAAAAGGGCTCCTTTGCCTGCCCTGGGAGGAGCTGCTCTGGTCTGGCATGCGCTGGAGCAGGCAGGAGCTGTGAGTTTATGCTAAATGATCTCCGACAACTTGGTGGTTCCTCGGAGAGTGATGAGTTGACCTCGGCCAAGCCGGAGAGGCTGCATGAGGACTTGACACACAGAGCTGGGAGGAGGAATTTTCTATTGTCTTTAGATATTTAGTGTTTGCTTTTTACTCCCCAGTATTCAGTGCTAGTGCTGATTCCCGGCTGAGAGACTATTGGTGGCTCTTCTGTTTTGCTTTTTCCTTTTATTTTACTAATCCAATTTTTAAATGGAGCCAGCATGCTGGGTTCAAAATCCCTGCCAGTATCGCCCTTTAACTGGGAAATCTGAGCTCTGCTGGGGTGTGTTCCCAGGGGCATCTGGTGCTGGGTGTGCTGGTGGCAGTGGGCTGGGACCCTCCTGCAGCTCACGGCGGGATGGCAGTGGTTCTGCTCCTTCCAACAACTGCCTGGAGCAGTGATGCTCCAGTATTTGACAATTCTGCTCCAGATTTTGAGGCAATCTGCGGAGGTGACAGGTATGTCAGTAGGAAAGCTGTGGTGGCTGTAGGAGAGGCCATCGGTGCGATGAACACAGTACTGTTCTTCAGGAAGGCACAGCACATTTACTGTTTCACCTGATGGGCTGCACGTTGGGGCACTTTGGTAAGACAGGAGCCTCGTACTGCGTCCCGGCTGTGAGAGATTCTCTCTGATATTCAGTAGGACTCAAAACCTGAGATGATAGTGACTACTCAGGGCTGCTGCTCTCCTGTCAGCTATTGGGGTGTATGTCAACGTCTTTTGCCCCTCCTTCGGCTCACTCGGGGGCACCGGTGCTTCAGTACAGCGTATATCAGTGCAACTTAGTGGACTCCAGAGCTGTAAGAGAAATTTTTAGCGTGGCTGGTGGTTAATTTTGGCTGCCTTCAGTGTCTGTAAATGCAGTGGTGCTGTGAGCTCCCAGAGCTGGGGCAGCTCGCCGTTCTCTGCCCGCAGGCACGTCTGGGGCGGGAGGCGTGTGCACATACTTGCCGCGTATAGATTTCCGCGGGCCAGCAGGTGCAGCGTGGGGCTCCTTCATTCCTGGCTTGACTCCCCCAGACGGGTCGCATCCCGAGTTCACAGCTGGCTCTGGGCACTTGGTCCCTGTCCATGCGCAGGTTAAGTCGTATGGAGCAGATAAGTTTGCTCAGATACATGTGGGATGATTTGTCAGGCTCCCCGTGTGTGTCCACAGGAGCGGGGCTGTAGGAGATGCGGGCACTGCTCTGCTGCCGCTGCCCTGGGGCGAGTGTGCCGCTGGCTGTGGGCAGGGCAGGAATGACTGCATCGCCTTTGCCGAATGCTCTGAAGGCTTCGGGTGGAAAGTGATACGTGTTTGCTTGCTGCCGCTCTGGGAAAGAAAATTGGAGAGCTGGCAGGGAGCGCTGGCTGTTAGCAGTCAGAAGCTTCTGCCGAGCGAGACTGTAAAACACAGGCTGGGGCTCAAGGGAGCTGCGGGCTGGATGTGGGGATGGGGCAGAGGGATACTGCGCCCTGGCCGTGGCCAGTGGGCACCGGGGGAGAGGGGCAGCAGCCAAAATTCACCTTCCCCCTCTCCTGCCTCTGCTCCGCAGGATCTTCGGCTTCCCCCTCCACTACACGGACGTCTCCAACATCGGCCGCGGGGCTCGCCAGAAGCTGCTGGGAAGATCGTGGAGCGTCCCCGTCATCCGGCACCTCTTTTCCCCACTCAAGGATTACTTTGCCTGTGAATAGCAAGCCGAGCGTCCCTCGTCTCTCTGGTAAAGATGCACAGCTCCGCTGCCGTGGCGGGAGAGGGATGGGCACGGCTGCCGGACTCTGCCACGGCACCATCCCTCCCCGGCCATGTGCTGTGGGAAGGCAGCCTGGCCCCGCAGGGAGAGCTGAGGAAATGTCTTTAACCAAAGAACCTGGCAGGGTAACTTTTCTTTAAAGGGACTAATGGCAGCGATGTGTAGAAAATGATGGACAAAAGAGCTTTAATTACCCAGTGCAGGAAGCTCTATGCATAACTGATGAGACGAGAAGTCTCCTCCAGAGCATTAAATATTCCGTTTTAGCCTAGAGCTGGAAAGTCACAACTAGCTGAGCAGTAAGTGTGGAGGCAGCTGCCGGGGTGCTGCAGGCAAACTTGAACTATAGCGAATTATTGCTTTTCCTAAACAAACAAAACCTCTCTTGAAGCAACTGCCAAAAATCCCCAAACTGTAGCAGCAGGTGTAAGGGACCCTGGTCAGGTTACATACACTGAACATGCAGGATACAGAAACCAAATCTTTTTTTTTTATTTTTATTTTTAAGAATTTTTTGATAAACTTTAATTTTGTTGTTTAACGTCTATTGCTGCTTTAAGGCATTACATAAGAATGTGGAGATTCCTAGACCTGAATGTAGCTGAAACTGAACTGTGAGGTGATAGAATTACTTTTCTAGCTAGAACTAAAGAAATACTGTTTTATGTGTTTGGCTGTAGTTTACAAATATTCACTACTTCCTTTTTAAAGCATCTAAAACTTTTTCCTTACATTTTAAAATCCTGCTGAGTGGTTTCAAAGCTTACACAGTAATCAGAGCACAGAGGATTTGGGCTCCAATGTGTCCATAAAGGAAAACGTTCTCTGAGCATTCATTTCCCAAATGAATGCGGTGCATCGGTAGGAAGGATAGCGTAGTGGCCAATGTCGGCTTCAAAATACAGCCCCCCTCAAATGTCATGTACAATGTCACGGACTCGAGCAGTATGGGCAGTCCTGTGGTGCAGGGGGTTCCTTGCAGGGAAAAATCCCACCCAGCCCCAGCGGGGCCATGGGGCTGTAGGGTTCCAGGAGCACAGCACTGGCCTTGCCCCGCACCGATCCTGCTCTGTGGGCAAGAGGAGCTGACCCTGCGGCGGCAGTGAGGTGTGAAAGCTGCTGTGTCCAGGTGCTGTGTGCGTCCCCCCCGCTGCAGGCACTGCTGCTGGGGCAGGGTGTGTGCGCTGGGGACAGGGGCAGGTCCTGGGGGTCCGCAGGCAGGGGCTGTACCTCTCCCTCCCTGTGTGCCCATCTCCCCACGCGTGACTTTGTGTACAGAAGTGGGATGCTGCTGGTGCTTGTTACATGCCCGGTGCTGGCCTGACAGCACCCTGGGGGGCTCCTGGGGCCGTTCCCCCAAACCAGGAGCTCCTGCGGCCACCACTGTGTTCGCTTTTGATTGCCCTCCTCTGCTCCCTGACTTGGCCAGAGTGATTATCTCGCTGTCCGTGAAGTCCTGAGGGCACTGTTCCCATGGCCAGCATCCCGCGAGATGCGGGTGCATGCACAGCAGAGCCCATCCCTCTCTCCCAAGTTTTCTGTAGCCGCGGGGCTGCTGTCCCAGCCAGCATCTCCCGGGGACTCTTGACTCCAATGCACATTTCAATGCACTGAAACAACTCGTGACATAGACCCCTCAGTCCCTCTGTCCTCCCCTGCCTCTGCTGGTCACTACAACCTGTCGCCTTGGTCTGGCAGAGTCCTTGGGTGCCTTCTCAAGATTAATCAAGTGCAAACCATGGGCCAGCCCTCCGCCTGATGCCAGGCTGCCTAACGAGTACAGCATCAGTGGGAAATGAGAGCTTCTCTCCTGGCTCCTTCTACCTCTCTGACACATGGGGACCCCCTTGCACCTCCCTCACGGGCGGTGGAGGATGGCAGCCTCTCTGGAGGAGGGAGCCTCCCATTTTCCACTCTTCTTGTCATGGAGCTGCTTCTGTGCAGCTTTCCACCTCATCCCCAGGCTCTGGGGACCATCTTCTCTCGGTCTCCAACCCAAGGCTGCACTCAGGAATGGGCAAGATGGGAAGCCCAAGTCATTTAAAAGCTTTTTTTCCCTTGATCCTGCCCAGAGGTTACTCTTTAGTCTTCCCACAGGGATTCATTCTCAAGTGCGTTCAAGCCGCACGCCTTAGTTAAGAAAAAGCTGGAGGAAGCCAAGCGGTCTTCTCAGTGTCACCGCTGGCATCTGCAATGCTCGGCAAGCTCTCCGGGACAAGTAGCGCCCTCTAACCTTTGTCACCAGCCCCCTGACTGGGAAGATGGCAGGGTGGGTTCTGTGGGCGCTGGAGGTGTTTGGGAAGCCTGGCGTCGCCACTGCTGCTCCGGCTGGTTTTGGACCCCTCGCCAACTTCCCATCCTCATTCCCAGCCTGGACCCCAGTCACAACGCTAATTCCTCAGCTCAGCCCCAGCCGCAGCCCCCGTATGGAGCCTGACGTAGGGGCGACAGCCGTCCTCCCCCTTGGGACCCTCTGATGGCTTTTGTTTTTCCAAACCGGGCTAACACGTAACTTCCACTCCATGGCACCTCTAATTTCATACTCCAGATCTCCCATCCTTTCCTGTCTCATCGAAAGGAAAACGAATAGAAGAGGAAAAAAAGGAAAAAATGGACTTGGGGAAAGTAAACAAAGATAAAAGAGGAATGAGAATCATCTTGCTTGATACGGATTGCAGTAGACATGTCTTCCTTGAACTATTTTTCCCTGTAAGGAGCTGCCTTTTATTATGTGTCGTAAGGAGAGATAGATTTCAGAAATGCCTTTTTAGTACTTTTTTAAAGGTTTCTAACTCTCCCTGGTGCTATTTTTTTTTTTAGGTTAAGGATTTTTGATGTCAAAAGTCTTGCGGGTTTTTATACAATCTTTAAAAAACAAACAAAAAAAAGGTTATTGTTTTGTTAAACGCATTTCATATGCTTTTTGTACTGGGCGTGCGAGAAGTGAAAAACCGTGCCTTGTCCATGCAGTTTTAACTCGTTTTTCGTGTGGGAAAGAAAGGGGATCCATGTCAACAGTTTACCATTTATCGCCGTCTAATTAAAAACCAGTATTTCTGTATGACCGGACAGTCCTTATTTGATGAACTCACCGCGTGAAAAAGGAGGGGTGTTTACAGAGGGCCAAGTCCCACAGATGACCCCCTCTGCCCCTTTCCCCGCTGCCCCTTGAGGCGACAAGCCCGGCACAGCGGCCCCGGGGAACCCAGACGCGTGAGCCCACGGCAGCCAGGCC